TGGACGGCTGGCCTGTAGTTGGGGATGGGGGCGTGGACGGCTGGCCTGTAGTTGGGGATGGGGGCGTGGACGGCTGGGCTGTAGTTGGGGATGGGGGCGTGGACGGCTGGGCTGTAGTTGAGGATGGGGCGTGGACGGCTGGGCTGTAGTTGGGGATGGGGGCGTGGACGGCTGGGCTGTAGTTGGGGATGGGGGCGTGGGAGAGCCTTTGACGAGCTCTCATGACACATGGCTGATAGAAACAGGCTTTCTCACATGGGCAATGAGGGGACATCTGACATCAGCACTGGCCCACATTGATGGCTGTGGTGCTGATGTGTGGGTACGGTCTGTAGGGCAGATCTTTCAGGTGCCATTGGCATCATGGGTGGGACAGAGCTCAGCCTCATGGGACAGTCCTGCATGTTGCAGGGCATTTCTCATCCTGGGCCCCACACCCTGTGCCAGTAGGGCCCTTCAGACATGTGACCACCAGACCTCTCCACCCTCACCCCAACCCCACTACCCTGACTGGGGGCCAGGTAGCTTTTAAAATTGGTTGCCAGTGCCATTGTTTCACTCTGCTGTTTATGTTGTGCGTGGGGGGGGGCGTGTGCATGTATGCATGTACGTGTGTGCGCATGTATGCATGTACGTGTGTGCACGTGTGTGTGCGTGGTCCTTTTCTCTTCAGTCATTACATGTGCAGAAAAGTGATGTGGATCTGATGAGAACCAAAGTCCGGCGCTTGGAAGAGGACAACAGCAGGAAGGATCGGCAGATAGAGCAGCTTTTGGACCCAACCCGGGTACGTTCACATTGCGGTCCCCTGCGGCAGTGCCGTGATGGTGGGGTGAGAAGGAATGGGACAAACCTAAACCACGTGTTGTCTTATTTCTCAATCTGCATGTCACAGGGCACAGATTTCGTGCGGACTTTGGCAGACAAAAGGCCTGATACTGGCTGGGTGAGTACAGTCTCCAGCGAGACCGATAACCTTTCCACTGAATTCTACTTTAAAAACTGCCTACACTCGAAAGATGCCTTTTCCCTAATGTGCTTTTATAAGAAGAGTGACAGATACACAGAAGATCTCAGAACATTCTAAAACTGTCCTGCGTGGACCCACAGGGATTCCAAGAAGAGTAACATACAAGGAAGGGCTCAGGACATTCTAAAACGGTTCCCATGGACCCAAGGAGGTTCTGCCACGAGGCTTCAGGAATTGTCTTCAGGAGTTTGAAGGAGGCTGAGCAGCTGGTCTGCCACTCAGGTCAAAAACCATGTTGTAGAAAAATAATAGTCACAAGGGAACATCCCCATTACACTTTACAAAAAGCACATTGTACGTTACGATTGACGTTGATTTAAAACAGAAACAGAGTCGATGACCTTAACACAGACCTTCTGTATCTTCTTTAATAACATACAACAGATGCCATGACATACAACAGGTCACATGACACAGCAGCTCACATGATGTACAACAGATGGCGTAACATACAAGAGATGGCATGTGCAACAGCGTGACAATAGATCACATGACACAACAGATCATGTGACAGAACAGACTGTGTGACATACAACAGATGGCATGGTGTGCAACAAATGGCATGACGTGCAACAGCTTGTGTGACGTACAACAGCGCATGTGACGTACAACAGATGGCATGATATATAACAGCTTCTGTGGCGTATAACAGAGCACATCATGCACTCTGGTGGGTGAGCCGTTCTGTGGATGCTGCTGTGGCAGTTGGAGGATGTTGTATACCTGTCAACTTATGTGACCAAAGGAGGGGCACCTGGGAAAAAAACCTAAAATGCTGAAAGAAAGCTGGAAGGATACACATTTGAGACTATTGAAGACAAAAGAGCATCAGTGACATGAGTAACGCATTTGATACCGTGAAGGTCAGATTTACATAACTCAAACCCCTACAGCTAAAAGGAAAGCAGCATCAGTGTTGTGGCTGACAGGCTTGGATGGGGTGACGGCAACTGCAGCCAGACTCCCATCCGGAACCTGAGACACTGCCCGTCTGGAAAGGGAACCAGTCGTGCTGGCTAGGATTGAAGACCAGTCCTGTGCCTGGGACGGCACAGTGACTGACCCATCCGTGGGCGTGACCCAGGCAACATTTTCATAATAAAATCTCCTTCCTGTTAACAGCAAATCCTAATGGTTGTGTGCTTTGTGCAGTTTACAAGCTACATACCTGCTGATGCCTTGTCTCAGGGCTTTAGTTCCCCCGTTTCTCTTTCTCTCTTGTTGTTGAAAGTAAGCACAGCAGAGCATACGCCGGTTCCCTGGTTCTACACCTACAATCTGGAGCTCTGACCACGTTCTTCAGGTTCTGCCCTACGCCCCCCCAGCTGCCCCTCCCCCAGTGAAATACGCTCACTGCCCCCAAGCTTCCTTCGGACCTTTTGTGTTGCTGTGGTCCGGTGGGTCCCGCAGAGAGAGTTAGTTCTTCGAGGAGCCCAGTGCTTGAAGGAGACCAGTACATAAGCCAACTTCCTGTTCGGTCTAAAGAAGACTTCTGGGGATGTTTCTGGTTTCAGGTTTAGTGCCCATCCTCAATTTAAAAAGGAGGGAACCCAGGGGAAGGGACTTGCCCAAGGTGGTTCTAGGTGGTTCTCTCTGGTCCCGTCACTCCCCAGCAGTCAACACCTGAGGGAAGAAATGACGTTAAATTCTCACATCTCCGAGTAGCAGAATGAACACAAGGACCACTCTGGTGCCAGCGGGGCTATGGAAATGCAAGTACATTACAGTTTCTGTTGTAGCCATGGCATTGGAGATCGTACAGCTGTTCAAAAGCAAAGATCTGTGGACCCAAGCATCCACTGGCAGAATCCTGCTCATGTTAGATCCGTCTCAGTGAGATAATCCAGTGCAAAAACCACCTGCACAACGGTGTTCATAGCTGCCAGCATCAGATAAAACAGGAGGAGTTGTCCAAAGCAGAATACTGCTCCATCACAGCGGCCTTAGAACATCAGTACGTGGAGGGTATGAACCGCGGCTGCAATAGAAGGACGTGATGGATTCGGACGAGGGCCTGGCTCGTGAACGGCAGATGCTCCTGTGGGACGGAGGTGATGGATTCGGACGAGGGCCTGGCTTCATGAACCACAGATGCTCCTATAGGGAAAGGGTTCTCTGCACCTTTGTTCTGATGCTTGTTTTTTTTTTTTTTCAATCATTGAAGTTGGTTACAGGTAGAAATTCTAGGTCATGGGGAAAGTTGTCCTTGAACGTGTCTGGGCCCGTGCTCCACCGTTCCCACTTCCCACTCTCAGTGCTCGGGGAATCTCTGCTCACGCACCCGGAGGCCTGGCCAGGGGTCCCCTGCAGGGTTGTTGTGGTCACAGAAGTGGGCTCAGAGGGGAGTGGCCACGTGGGCCGTGCTGGGTTCCGGGGGGAGTGACAGCACAGGCTCAGGGGCCGGCGGGGTTGTTCACCAAGGGAGGCTGTCGGGGCACAAAAGCTGTCCTTGAACGTGTCTGGGCCCGTGCTCCACCGTTCCCACTTCCCACTCTCAGTGCTCGGGGAATCTCTGCTCACGCACCCGGAGGCCTGGCCA